ACTCCTCGTCCCTAAAATGCTCCAAGGTGAGGAGCCAACATCCATGTGCTCTCAGAAGCTCCATTACATGCCCAATACCCAATGCCCTATCACACCAGTATTTTTAATTAATCAGAAGTTTCTCCATTGAGATTAAACACAGTGTTAATTTATCATCTACTTTCCCCAGTACATGCTTATTAATTAGCATAGTAATTTGTTTAGTTCTTTAGGAACTGCATGCCATGGAAAATGTTCCAACTTGTCAAATGCAACTCATCAATTAGTCCAAGACATGTAAGAAAGACTAATTGATAAATATATCATAGCACTCAGTAACTGGCAAAAAAAATCCAGCATGATGCACCCTGCTATCCCTTCCTTTGTAATAAGATTCCTTAATTAACTGACAACTTGCTTTTTCCTTCTTTTAATTAAGAAAAGAAAACCAAAAGTCTTTGGGGAGGGTGTCTATTCAATTTTCTGGTTATGTTTGAAGCGAATTCTACTTCATCTACCTCGTTAGCTGAAAAGTAAGGAAATTAACCTATTCTGCAAACTAGAATTTATCACTGGGGCTGGGAGAGCTGATGTGGAAACTTAAAAAGCAACTTCATCACTCTTGTATATGTGTTTTTTTAAGGTTTCTTTCTGATTACATAAATTTAAAGAGTCTTCTACAAACCTGGAAGAGATGTGCTGCACACATTTCTCCACACAGCAGCTTTTGAAATAGCCTCATGCCATAATATGGACACTAGATAGAATGCACAGGGTAAAATATACAGAGGAAAAATGAACATTCACAATTACATCTCCAAGCAGTAAAGCTCACCCTGCTCTGTCCATGGCCAGGAACCCCAGTTACTCTTTGAGGAATTCTGCTGATGTGTGAGTATTTGCCCCCTTCATCCCCACTACTGGTCTGTGTGCTACCACGTCAAATGGAATACAGAACCTACCCAAGTATTTGTAAATGTTTGGGCTTCCTGACCTCTAGCTACTAGATAACAAGAGTCTATTGTCCTGCCACTGTGGCATCCAGAGTGCTTGCAGGCTGCTGTAAGAACCACCATTTTTCAAAAAAACATAGCTCAAAGGAAGCCAAGAAACCCTGTGTTACACAAGAAGCCAGATTTTGTCCTCAAGACCAGTGCAGTGCTGCAAAGATGCTACTTATGACACCAGATAAAACAGACTCAGGAATAAGTGAGGAACTCTGGAGACTGTCAATGATAAAAAAACCTGTTAATGTTGTGACTCTGCCAAGAGCCTGTCCAGCTGCTGTAAGAACTGGCACAGCAAGCTGAGTATAATATAAAACATACCTGCCTCCCTTTCCCACCCAAGCTAGAAAGAGTGATGACTCCAGCCCATGTGAAGCTGAGGAAGACACAGCTGCATTTGGTCCAAGTTGTATGTAGTGAAGAATGACAGGTTTAACCTGCTTTTCCCTCTGTGCTCTCCCATGCATGTTTTATTTACATGAGCCATTAAATGCTGAGGTTGTTGATGTGCTCTGTTAGTCTTACATCCTAGATGATTTTTCTAGATGCCCAGAAAAGGGCACCCACATGTTATGGTGGATTTAAAGAGGAGCAATAACCTTTGAAACAACCTCAGTTTGTTCCTTTGGTCCTCTCTCAGACATACCCAGGCAGCCCATGCCTTGTAGCTTCTGGGCATCAAACCAAGGGTTTAGTTTCAGGATGAATCAGCAAATCACTTGGGAGAGGGGACAGACTTTCCATACTTCCTCTGGCAGCTTCTCCCCTTGCTGCTGGAGCAGTACAGCCCTGGCTGCTTCTTTCCACAATTAGTAGCTTAAATAATAAAATGATTCCACACTGGTCCTATTCAAATTAATCCATAAGTTCCTCTGAGGCTGTTTTCCCCAAATGGAGCTTTTCCTCCTCCCCTTACAAAGCATGAAGGCAACACACTTGCTTTGGTCCAGCCCAGCAAGGGCTACCAAGCCAGCCCAAGGGACCATTGCCAGCACCCAGCACGGCTCCAGCAGCTTCTTGGCTCCTCTGAAGTTCTCAGCAGCTACTCTCATTTCTGCCAGTACTTCCACAAATTTCCCATGCCTCTGCTGAAATTATAACTTTTGCAAAAAATAATAATAATAAATATCTTTTTAGTGCCATTTGCCTGCAGAGAAGTGTTTGGGCCATCAACAGCTAATACTGGTGCTCTTGTGGAAAAGAGGAATAATCACAATACCTCTTCAGATCAATGATATTTTCTTGGCACTAAATATGCAGCATGTTTCACACCTTTAAATGACCTTAAGTAATCCTTTTCTAGGCAGAACAGAAAATCTATTTCCATTACTTTCCAAAGACTCAGGAAGTATGTCTGTAGGAAGAAAACTTCTATAAATTCACCTTTTTAGAGTCACTGGGTAACCCAGAATTTATGCACATACAGGTCAATCAAATAATTCAGGATTTATATGCTCCCTTTCAAGCTCCAGGGAACCAAAGTAAAATGCTAAAAATAAAATACACATGTTGTAATACACAGAAGATTTAGAGATGGAACTATTCTGACAGCTCAAAATAAAAGGCTTTATTCATAAGATCTCAATGGTTAGATCTGTACCTAAATCACATATTGATTTAACTCACTGTAGACAAGTTATATAAGCTGTGGAATTACTTATGCTTGATCAATGGGTTTTAGAAAGGAATCTCTGTCTGACTTAATCATTTAGGCAAGTGAAGAAGTCACATAAATATCCCTCCATTTTACTTTATAGGACAGTAAGCCAATTTCTAATCAAATCTCTAAGTAAACAGCATTATTTGTTTCCAAGAAATATCGATATGAAAATACTTTTCCAAGAAAATCTGAAAGCAGACTTCAAAAATATTAAGTGCTATCTATTAAACACACAGACATTGTATTGATACGTGAGTATGAAAAGATGATGATCAGAGGTACTGAGGGGAATGCAACACCCCTTTGTAATAGCCAGGGATGGAAACTCCTGGCACAGAGCTGGAAAAAAAAACAGATTTGGAGTCTCAGGCAGATGAGAAAGTTGAATGTGTTTAATATTTTACTCCTTTCAAGTGCCAACAGGGATTCTACACTTGAGTGCAGGAGCAAACACACCAACCCCCATATGGTAGGGAAGACTGTGTTAAAAGAGAGAGCATTTTCTCAGGTTAGAGAGAGGGAAACTGAGGCACTGAAAGGCAAAATGATGCCCTGAAAGGCAACAGGCAAGCTCATGTACAAGAATGAAGGCTTTTATTTGCATGCCAAATCTACTAGTGCAAACCTCCTGTCTTAACCACACGATTGCTCAAGTCCCACTGATACCAGTGGGAGGCTCAAGGTCTGATCCTGACCTGGCTCAGAGCTGGGTTAGTCACAAACACACTCCTCAGCTTTTCCCTAAGCTCTTGTGTCAGAGCTAATTTAGGGGCACTCCAACCAAAAGCTAAAAAGCTGACTCCCTGTTGCAATTTTTCTGGGTGGTCTCAGCAATAATAATAATAATAAAACAATCAACAACAACAACCAAAAGGGAGGGGCAACTGAAATCCCTTCATGAAAACACAGGCAGCATGGGGAGCAAACACGAGGTGTTAAGAGACCTGTGGGTGCTGGCAGGGCTGTGGTCTTACTGGCATCATGGAGATGTGGTGGGATGGTTCCTATGACTTTAGTGTGTGAATGGAAGGACACAGGCTCTTTAGAAATGGAGCCCAAGAAAGCTGGTTAATACTCAAGGACACCTAGCTCAGAAATGCTGCATCCCAACCAAGAGAAAGTCAAGCAAATATGTATACAGAGAAATTGTCCAAGCAGCCATGGATCAGGTTAGGAAGTCTAAAGCCCTGATAGAATTAGATCTGGCCAGGGACATCAAGGGCAACAAGAAAAGCTTCTATAGACATGTTGGCAATAAAAGTAACCCTAGTGAAAATGTGGGCCCTCTCCAGAAGGAAACAGGAGACCTGGCTGAGGTCTCAATGATTTTTTTGCCTCAGTCTTTACCAGCAAGTGCTCAAGCAACATCACCCTAGGCACAGAAGGAAAAGGCAGGGACTGGGAGAATGAAAAGCCATCCATGGTAGAAGCAGATCAGATTCAATACCATTTAAGTCCATGGGACCTGATCAGATGCATCCGCAGGTCCTGAGGAAACTGGTGGCTGAAATTGCTAAGCCTCCTTGAGGAGAAGGACTTGGGAGTGATGGTTGATGAAAAGCTCAACATGCACTGGCCACGTGTGCTTGCAGCTCAGAAAGCCAACTGGATCCTGGGTTGCATCAAAAGAAGGTTGGCAAGCAGGTCAAGGGGGCTGATTCTCCCAGTCTATTCTGCTCTTATGAGACTCCACCTGGGGTGCTGTGGGCACCTATGGAGCCCTCAGCACAAGAAGGATGTAGAGCTCTTGGAGCAAGCCCAGAGAAGGGCCATAAAGATGAGCACCTCTCCTACGAAGACAGGCTGAGAGAGTTGGGGCTGTTCAGCCTGGAGAAGATAAGGATATGGGGAGACCCCATAGTGGCCTTTCAGTACCTGAAGGGGCTACAGGAAAGCTGGGGAGGAACTTTTTACAAGGGCTTGTTATGATAGGATGAGGGGGAATGGTTTTAAACTGGTTGCCCAGAGAAGCTGTGGATGCTCCCATCCCTGGAAGTGTTCAAGGCAGGTTGATGGGGCTCTGAGCAACCTGGTCTCATGGGAGGTGTCCCTGCCCATGCAGGGGGGTTGGAACTAGATGATCTTTAAGGTCCCTTCCAATGCAAACCATTCTATGATTCTATGATGCCAACACCACTCATAGGTCATTCCCAGCAGCATAGAGACAAGCTCTGCTCCCAGCAGAGCATTGTCTGCTCTCAGCAGAGCATGAACCTCGGCACAGACCCACGACCAAGTCCACACTCACACTCCCCAAGCTACCAATGCATGAAAAAAAGGGCAAGGCAGATTGCTGCAGCCTCAGGGGGTTCCCTGTGAAGGTGCAGAGTCAAAGAAGGAGGGAAGCCACTTACCGTACAGGACTGTAATGAGCGACACGGGCATGACCAGGATACCCACCAGCATGTCTGCCACTGCCAGGGACATCAGGAAGAAGTTAGTGGCATTCTGCAACTTCTTCTCCAAGGACACAGCCATAATTACCAATATATTTCCCCCAATGGTCAGCAGAATGACAACCAAGATCAGGAGGGCAGGCCAGTTCTTTTCCCTCACGGACGTCCGAGAGACTTCCCCCTTCTCAGAGGCATTGAGAGGATCAGATGTAGGCCAGCTCTGATTCAGAGTCAAATTGCTGCTTAAGGACCAAGCCATCAGACCACCATGCAAACTAAAATCCAGCGTAACAGACACTGTTGTTAAGCTGAGTAATATTCCAGTGCTACTTAAAGTGCTCATCATCTGGGACTGGTTTTGCTGTCTCTCAACCGCGCCTCAGAGATGATCCCTTTTCCAAAGTGCAGGTCCAAGGCAGAAGCCGAACTTCACAAAACCTGAGCCAGAAAATCATTTGGTCTTCCATAGTGAAACAAACCTTACAGAAGTTATCATGGAGCTCTTCTAGTTTCCATGGGGGTGGTGGAAGTTGACCACTGACCAGCAACCTCGAGGGAAAGGAGACTTTGCAATCTCCAGCTGGTTTCCAGGCCCACCATTCTGAAAAGGAAAAGAAAAAGTACATTCTTCATGGAAATCATAGTACACACACCACAACTTCTTCATCCCTATGCAAATAACCTTCTAATTCTCTCCCTTCCCACTGGTTAGGATGTTCTCCAGACTGCAAGTGATTTATCTTATGGGTACAGAATATGTCTGCAGCTATGGGGGAGAGAATCACATCAGTGATTCTGCTGGTTAAAAGCTGATTATCACTACTTAAATGTTTTGTGAAACCTGCAAAAGCAAATCTGAAGAGCAAAACTTGTTGCCACTTCACAGATACTCTGCTGCTGTGTCAACCAGTAATTGCACAAAACTCCAACCAATCCAGTAAGTAAAACAAAACCAATACCAGGCAACTTATTTTGAGCATATCCCCAGCTTTTTGTGCAGTCCACAGGAAAAGAGCTGTTCTGTCACTGATAGGTAAATAATCATTGAATCATAAAAGTCTGATTTCAGCCCTTGAATGCACCATGGCTCACATGTGACACAGCAATTTGTTATCCAGGGATCAAAAGCTAAATGTAATTCATGGGATTACATTAGATATTATGTAAAATAAGCAGAGCTCAGAGTCCTATAATAAAATGTTTAACATTCATGAAGGTTTGGAAAACTTACTAATGGGCTTTGTGCACAAAAAAACATTTCTTAAATGAGCAGTGCTCACAATGAATCCAGATTTGCTTCAACATTATAGTTAATTACTCCCAAAGGGTCTCTAAACCTCATATTTAGGAAGAAGTTTTGCACTATGTGCACAGAAAATAATTTTGCAGCTGCACATGCAGATGAATTAGCAAGTAAGTCACTGGATCATTTATTTTTTTCCAACTTAGCTGGTCTAAAAAAATGTCTCTAGAAAGTTTCAACATACTCAAAATCAACTTCTTTTTTTTTTCCAAATTACCTTTCCATAGTGAAGGAGACACTGGGCAGCTTTGGGGCACTTGAGCTTTGCTGTGCAGGACATCCCCATTAAAGCCACTGGGAATTTCTGGGTCTCCAGAAATTCTCTCTCTCGTTGGCTCCACGATTCTTGGACAGTTCTAATCATGACTAATACTTTGGCAGGATGAGCAGAAAGTTCCTGCCCAAAAATGAGGACATGGCCAGACAACAGGACACCCAGCCTTGGTCTTACTTCTTGCCAGGTCTGAGCTCTGGAGGTTTTGAAGAAGGTGAAGCTACCACCACTCTAGCCATAGGTGTGAGGGAGCTTGAGGTTCCTGGCATGTACTAGCTGGGGTTGCTGAAGGAACATGGGCAGGGAGGTGCCTCAACTCTAGACCCTAAAGAAAACACAACAGAATCATCTAACTGCAAGATCAGATTTCTCAATTAAAAATGTCTAATTGTACACCAGCTCAGGACTAAATTCTGAAATGGTCAGCAGAGTCATCCTCTCGTGTTTCACAAATGTATCTGCAATAGTATTTTCTTCCATGAGTGATGTTGCATGAGTGAGCATGGAGTTAAAAAAATCAGTAGGTGGAATTATCACTTGCTTATTCAGCAGCTTTATTATTAAAAGTAAAACTATTTGGCTACTAATGCACAGCAAAGCTTGGGGTTCCAAATTATACCAGTCACCAAATACAATTTGCTTTCAGTTAAATTATCCTCAGGAGAAAATTAGTTTCTTTCAGGAAGGTCTAAGAAAGGGGGATTTCAAAATTAATTTGCTTGCTCTAAACAAGCAGGTTTTTCAAAGACACAGAGACAGACTTGGAGCAAAATGCTTTCTACACAAAGTAAATTTTGCAAATCTGCTGCACACTAACTTCTCAGCAAGAAATGTACATTTTCTAAAGTCTAACAGATTTCTCAATAATCCTTCCCCCCACAGTCCTGTCAGTAGTTTAAAAATGTACACATTCTACACATTTGCAAGAGCAAAATTATGCTATGATACTGGGAAACTCAATCCTTTTGAATTAAGAATATAATGGTAAAAATTACTTGCAGATTGTTGCTATTAGAAGGAATTATGATTTCTTTTAAAACTTGGCCCATTCACCTATTACTTAGAGTGACTCATGAAGTGAGCCACTACTGTTTTTGTGCCAAAGCAGAACTAGGAAAAGAAAAAGGAATCACAGAGACATCTAAAAAAGTGTTTTCCAGGTGCACTTGTGGAAGTGCAGTATCTGAAATAATTGGAGAGCTGTGTAAAAAAAATAAGGGAGTGACATTGGTAGGAGCTCTGCCTTATCCCAGACCCTCCAAATTCCTGCTTTAGATGGATGGCAGATGTTGGCACTACTCTGTATGTCACCTTGTCCCTGACAGTGGCCAGCAAGAAGTTGCCAATCCTCATTCTTGCTGCCACCAAGAGCTACCCTTGGGTAAAACCAGGTGCCTGCACCTGGGAAACAGGAAAGAAGAGCTGAACTTTCAGATCAGAATATCAGCACTGCTTGTTTTGATGTTCCTTAAATCCAGCCATCATCAAGTCTGGCATTAACAGTGATGGATCTTCATCTCTTACCTTAGCATAAACAGAAAGAAAAGCATGACATAGAAGAGAACTGACTTTTCAGTCTGAGCCAAAGCTTCTGGCTCCCTTCTGCCACATTTCTGTTAAAAACCCTGTGCTAAAATCCTTACCAAGTCTAATCAACCTTTTTTTTTTTTTTCTACATTGACTTTATTTATGGTTTTATTTTCAGTTTTCTTTGCCTGAAGTAGCACTGTTATTCATCCCAGAATAGCATCAGGTTCTCTAGTGGCAGGAATACCTTGGAGAGAACATCAGGATAATGAAGGTTTTCAAAAGTGGTATAGGTTTTATGCAAGACTATAATGGCAAAAACTGTCTTAAAATCAATAGAAGCAGCCTTTTGCATATTCATTTTGAAAAATGACACATGGGAACTTGACTAGAGCCATGGCCAAGCTTGGGTTTCCACATTCAGAATTAATGGTCCCACTGATCTGTTAATACTTTTACCTCATTTGACATGGATTTTGGCTGGAAGTCATCAGCTTTCTTTTTCACTGCAGCCCTCAGTCTCCACAAAGTAAAACTTTATGACTAATTCCTTCAGCTACAGTCTTCTAAACACATCACTGTACCAGAAAAATAATGCACATTTTATTCATGAATTCTGCATATATTTAAGAACTATCTGCATAATTTTAAATTAAAACCTGTGTCTACCACAGATTTTTTTTAACAGCTAACATCAAAGCTCACATGCTGATTTTTGTGGCCAGTCATGAATTCCAGTTCAATCTACTACGGACAGACCTTAAAATTATAATTTAAGCATTCAGCAAAGCCAAGTTCTTGTCTTTGTCCCTTTTGCTTTTTGATAGAGGTAAGGAATGAGTTCTTTGAGCACGTATTTTCCCCTTCAGTCTTTAAGCCCAGTTTACAATAAACTGAAGCTAAGAAAACATTTTTGTTTCTCTTCTGTCAAGAACATATGAATTATTTAAAGCAAGAGTTTGGTAGGTTGAAGTTTTCAGATAGTCCAGGAGGTTAAGTCAAAGGGAAATAAAAGCTGTGGTGGTTTATATATCTGTACTGGTGGGACACTAGGGGGTTCACACACCTTTGGAAATGTTTACCATCATTACACTTGCTAAAAGCAAAAAAACCCCACACAAACAAACAAAGAAAACAACCTTTCTTGGCATAAACACAATTATTTTTTTGTTTGAATTAAATGCATCTATCTTTAGCTGTTTTACCCTTCAAAGCTCAGAACATTTTTTCCTGGAGAAATACAGCAGCCTGCTGAGAACTCAAGATGTTCCCCGGCCTCCAGCCAGGACCCTGCCTCTCCTGGACAGACTGCAAACCTCCTGTGCTCTTGTAAGTCATTTAATAACTCTCTGGGACTCGTAGCCTGAATAGTAACAATGTACATTTGAAATTGGATAAGAAATCAAGGATTGGCAATTCAGCCCAAAAAAAGAACCCAAGTCTCAGGCAGAGTCAGAGAGGAGAAAAAGACATTAATCCATGCTAAGTCTTGCTGTAAAAACCAAGAGTACTTAATGATGAAAAGCTATGACTTTCAGCAATTACCTCCCCACAAGAAAATAAAAGCAACTTCCAAGGTCAAAGGCACAAAGGCCACATGGGAGAAAAAGAGATTATTTGCCCCTGACCTACCAAGCAGGGTTCAAGTCTGTGAGTCGCCTTCGCATTTCATTGAAAGCCAACAAGTTGTTAAAGACCAAACATCTTTTTAAATCAAGAGGTTTCCCTTCAGCCTTGGCTTTGATGGCAGAGTTCCAGAATGGTAAAAATAAATCTGAAGCTGGGTAAGCTGAGCTGCGAGCACTGCCATTTTCAACAGGGAAACCATTGCAGAGAGTTCACCACTATCTGAGGCAGATCGTGCGCTGACCTAAATTGCTATCGCTCCGTGAAGCCTTTTCCAAAATGACAAATAATTTTAAATTATATAATAGGATACACAGTTTAGACTCAAGAAGGCAGATTTAAGGCTTCATTGTTTACTCTAAATCCTATATTTCCTGCTATTTGCACTCTACTAATTTATTTTTTTTAATGTGTTGCCAAAGCAATTTTCAGTTTTCTTTGGAGCAGAAGGTTGCTTCAAAATGTATCTTTTCAGGACAGCCCTGTGAGGGCCCCTTTAGTTTTACAGACTGAATAAAACCGTGTTTTTATATTTACAGAATTCTGTATTTTAGTCAATTGCAACTGATAGAACCATAGAATGGCTTGAGTTGGAAGGGACCTTAAAGATCATCTAGTTCGAATCCCCTGCATGGGCAGGGAAACCTCCCACTAACTCATCTTTCTCCTTTTTGTAGCAGCACTAAGATACAACCTTGTTTCTGTGCAGATCTATTTTTAAATGGTGTGTGAAAATGCAGCAAATCCAATGGAGACCACCAAGGTCTGGGTTTGCTTCAGCACCAGGTTTGCTTCAGCCCAGAGACAAGGCACTGAGCGAGGCCGTGGCTGCTGCTTACAGAGCAAACCAGCAAGACTCTTCCAAGAGCTC